GCACTGCACCAAAACTGCACTTTTCACGTACATTTAATACGTAAGTATTCGCTGCAAACATATTATGGTTGGAGCGGCGGCTAGTGCAGTGGCAGCCATCTTGCAGCCATCGGACACCACTGGGCGGTTTGGAGACGCCTTTTTTATTTGATCGAGTGCCCTCGGGCGTTCGTTTGAGTCGTGCGCTTGGGGGTAAGCGACACGGGCATAGGCCCGTAACAATTGCAGCACCACTCGCAAACATCCACTCAAGTTGACAATCCCGCGCGCATGCGAAGGCTCATGTTGATGTGACGTTGTACCTATAGTTGCTATGAATTAATACAAAACATAGAGCATAAAGATACATAAGTAATGAAAAGAAATGATAGAATAGTAGGCGGCATTATTGCTTAATAGCTAAGTATTAATTTTTTCCGACCATACTTAGAGTAAAAAATAAGTGAGGAGGTGTGTTTGGTAAGAGTATTTGGCAGCGTGTGACCCTCGACTTGCGGTACTGGTCGATGTAATGACTGGAGCTTCAAATTGAAACGTATGCCCGATATTTGCGGTCGCGAGTTCAGTGAAGCCAGCAATTAGCTGCATGGCGGGCGGGCCGGTCACGACGCGGCGCTTCACTCAGGCCGCCGCGGGGGCACTTCACTTGCACTTCACCTTTACAACACCTTGATTTCCATAAGTTTTAAATCGTTAAGTTATAATTATAATCTCCTTTCATTGCTTGTACTTAAGCAAATACCTACACTTATTATAAACCTGTCCTTAATTGTCCTCCGAAGTCCAAGGTGAAAAACATTACATTTTAAAAACTAAGTAGGTATAGGTCGAATATACAGCGCTGTGGTTCTTTACTCTTGTTGGTTACTTAATTTCACTCGTCTATTACTATCTTCAGTGAATAGTTCTAAGTCCAATAAAATATGTACAGATGCTCCACTGTCTAACAGCCATTACATTGTCATACGTCTCGTCAATAAAATTTGTATTTTCTTCTATATGGAATGCCAGCGTGCTATTCACTTGGTTGCTTTGGCTGCGATTCTTCACAAGGCAGTATTTGGCAAAAGCCCACGCTTGTTGCAGCTACAGCAAACGAAGCGGTGCTGATTATCATCACTACTAGAAGTACTTATCCTAGCTTCTGCTTATCTTGAGAAGCCAAGAGTGCAACTGCACTCTCTCGTTCTCTCGTCAGACTGGTTTCTTCATCCATCAACCGAGCAGTGAGGTTTGGAATGGTTTGTTGCTTCGAATCAAGTGACAACCAAGCTTGATGTACTTTGATGGTAACGTAGTAATTATTTTAGTGATAATAGCCGTGTCACTGATATTTTCTCCCCTATCTTTTAACTGCTGAGCCAAACTGTCGATCTTAGAAATATGCTGCGCCACACTATCTGACGGATTTATGTTATACTGGTAGAATTTCTCATGGATAGCATCTTTGTGAGTTCAGATTTTTACTCACTTATAGACTCAAGTTTATCCATGATCTTAGCAGCGCTGTCACAGTTCTCTATTAGGGCAATTTGCCGGTAATCGATCGCCGACGTAATGATGAACATGGTCATGCCATCGTTCCGCAACCATGTCTCCGCATCTAGGTCTTTTTCTGGTTTTGGTTTGTACGAATCAAGACCCTTCGCGTGAATTATATGAGGTGGCCGCAGTGGAGATGAAGTAAAGACGAGAAAATATGATTAATAACTATATTAAATTTCCACAAAGGTATTTCTTAAACTAAATAATTTTAAGAACGTCCGAAGTTAAGTACCTTATGTCTAAAAGTATTTATACGAAAAAGATCTTAACTAAAGGAATTTAGTCTACGTCTGATGTTAGGAACGTTGGGCCGAAAAGTGTCTCATAATTATAATTAAAATGACGAGTTTTGCATCGGTCACGTTGCAATGCACGGGTCGCGCGTTCTGGGGTGCGCGAATGCAAGTGCATTGACCTGACGTTTTAGGTATGTGTGTTATGTGCAAATCTGGATATACGTCTCACTCACAATCTGGTAACACGTGTAACGCAACGCACATTTGTATTGAAACTTCCATTGTCGGAAATTATTTCCGTTAAAACGCTCAACATTCATTTTCATACCGCGCCCATTTTGTTGGAAAAAAATCCACTCCCTTTTTCACTTTTTACTCAACTGTACCGAGTTTTCTGCTCTTTACATAGTTATCAATATCACGGGCCTATAATCTGTTCGATTATCATCAGCAATATTGATAAATAATATGTAAAAAATGATGAAAAAATGCAAGAATTTTCATAAATAAACTTAATTTATTTCGCAAACTGGTTCTCTGACAATCGGTTAGAACCTCCTAGGACAAGAATATGCCTAAATATAGGTATATTTTTTAAAACTATCAGAACATAGAGTCATAATGTAAAATTACTACCTGTTTTTCCATCCTCTAAGAGCCAACACCGCGCCCCGCATATTGACAGAACGTGAACAGCTGTCAGCGAGCCATTCGCTAAAGTGTGAGTGCCTGCGAATGCACTCATAGGCACTCGCAGGCACTCACACGCACTCGGAGTGGATAATGGTATTTATAATGATTATTGTGACCTTAATTTCCTAAATGTAAATTAATATATCGAAATTCAGAATTTAATAAAAAGTTTTTTTAACGAAAGAAACTCCTCTCTTTATTCTACTTAGATTTAGATAAAATAATAGCCATACCATACATTTACCATACAATTCACGACCATCATAATAACAGTAAGGTACGTTCGTAATAAATAAATTTAAACAGTTTAAACATCAACGTGTTGTCCTAAGCGAATGGCACGTTGACAGCCTTGTTGCCGTTCCATCTATATGCGGAGCGCGGTGCGGTATCTAAAGCTGAGGAGGGGCGGAGAGTGACCATTCTCGTTGCTTTTCCATTATCTGCTTTGGTAAAAGTTCACTTATCTACTGAAATTTTTTACATGACACCACTAGAATGATTTTAATATCCAACTTCGGCTTCCTAGGTCAGTAGTTTTGTCCTACGATGCAGTAAAACCATTATTTTTAGTGAAAGAGAGTTTTAGACGTTTAGGTTTTGTCCTTCGGGATTCTCGCGAATTTAAGAAACCCCAAACCATAAAACTGTTTTACTACGCACTTGTGCACAGTCCCCTCTCTGTCGAATACTGACTCAAATCAACGCACTCTTGTCTTATAAGCTTGAACGTGATATGTATGGGGATGGATGGAAGAACATCTTAAATAATTGTATTATGTTTTTCAAGAAGAATGAGTGAGAGTCCACCTGTTCATAAATATTGCCACCCACATTATGTTTTTTGTTTTTATTATTATTATTATTATCTGTTTTAGACTCTCGCCTCTCCCATGGCGGAAAAGATAAATTATTACTATTATTATTATTGTAACTGTAATTGGATATGTCCGTTCTTATTAGAATAAATACATTAAAAAAAAGTTCATTAATATTTGGATGTTTTAACAACTCTATGTCGCTCCTTGTATTTATATCTATTTTATTTTTTATTTTATTTTTATTTTATTTATTGGAAGACCAACGGCTATCTTATAGAATAAAAAACTTAAATAATAATGGTGAGCCAATTATAGGTCCTCGCCGATAGATACATTTTGATTTGAAATTATTGAGCGTTAAATTACAACTAAACTATTATGACGAATTACGAACTATGGGTAAATATACAACACTTACAAATTCACTTTCCTATCAAAAAACAAATTACTCATTAGACACTTCACCGATGCAACACTAGTGTTAAACAGGTCAATATCAACCTGTCTGGATAGTTGGTTAAAGTTGTTACCAGCACGCAAGAGATATGCATTTCGCCGATAGTTCGAGGAGTCCGAAGGTATATGTAAAGGCGAATTAAACCTAAGGGTCTTTGTGTGGGCTCTAAAGAAGATCTTGGACACAAGTTCTGGGGAGTCTACTGCACCAGAAGCAATTTTTCTTAAAAATACTAAGTCTGCAATCTGGCGTCGCTTCTCTAGTGGCAAGAGATGATGTTTCCTACATATTTCAAGATACCGGCTTGAATCATACCTCTCCCTTGTTCGATAACATAAATACTTAATGAATCTCTTTTGCACGTTTTCAATTCGTGATATATACTATGTAAGATACTGCGGGCTCCACACCTGCGATGCGTATTCAAGGTGGCTGCGTACAAGTGAGCAATATAAAATTTTTAGTGTCTTAGCCTGATGGAAATCTCTGGAGTTACGCATCACAAATCCAAGACTCTTTGAGGTTTTTGAAACGATCGAATCGATGTGGGAGGCAAATAGTAACTTATGATCATGAAACACACCAAGATCCCTTACCACAGTATCGCGTTGTAAAGTAATGTCTTTCAGTGAATAGTTAAATTGTATTAAGTTAATTTTACGACTAAAAGTGACGACAGTGCACTTAGACGGATTAAGGTCGAGTTGGTTATCGGTACAGAAGGTGTCGAGCCTACTAAGGTCTTCTTGAAGCAAGATTGCATCAGACACTGAAGAAATAGGTGCTATGATCTTCATATCATCCGCAAAGCATAGTAGTTGTGATGATTTGAAATCTATACATGTATCTATATATATCTATATATCTATTTATATATCTATACATATATTACGTGGAACATCTTTTTCCGACTGTTGGTGATCAGATCAGTTCGACACTATCAATAGTAAACCTTACTGTGTGTGCGGGGGGCGACACCGGCTTAGATTTTTTTATAATGTCAACGTGACGGGACGAATAAGTCGTGCGCCTGATGGTAACAATAGCAATGCTACTCAGAGCTTTAAATCGCAAAGATCTTAGGGCCACTGCCACTGCGCATGTCACTCTGACGCATAAGTTGACAAGTTCCATGTGCCTGTAATTTCATCAGCACCCTTACCCTTCAAAACCGGAACGCAGAAATAGCTACGGTGGCAGTACCTGGACGAACTCTTTCACGAAAAGTTGTACTGCTGCTAAAAATACCTGCTAATGCCTCTTGGTGGCGATGATGGCGGGTCGGGCGGGTGCACTGACGCCATAGTCGCTGTGCGGCGCGTTTCACAGAGCGGCACGGGCTATGCGCGGCAAACACATTAATCATCTTTAGTTAATAACATTCGTGACTGTTAAGGATGTCCGTCTCATCGTCGAAAACCGCACCGTAGCCTCCGAGCTTGAAATACCACTCGCGTCAGAGCCGCGAGCGCGCGCCGCCGCCGCCGGCGGGCAGGTTATGCTGATGAAATGTGACGCCAAATAGGTTATTCAAAAACTAATATGGCAAAATACTACCTACGCGCAGACGATTAATTATTCTATTAGCTCTAAACATTGCTGTTTAGATCCAGCACCGAGGTTTTATAAAATTAAATGTATGTAAAGTTATTTAAATTTCAAACGATAACAATCCTCAAGCTACGAAGATTTAGATTAAAAATTATATTTTGCTTAATATATTTTAAGTTGTTTTTCAAAAACATAATAACTGTGAGCCTTCACCCGAGTTCAAATCAATTTGGCAGCAATATGTCTACATAATTAATTTTGTCAACGTGTTTCGGTAGATGGGAGATTTCACTGCATTGGAACGGGATTGGAATATTTCCCAGAGCTTTAGCTTTAGAAATGGTGACTTAAATAAGCACATGTCCAACCTCCAAAATAAAGAGAGAATACCCTCTGACCCAATGTTGCTCTCGTGCACACGGAGCCCGATGAAGGGCTAGGTGCCTGGGTGTAACTCAACGAATCTCAACCAGACAAGATTGAACCAATCGAGGCCACGCCGCCTAATAATTAGTGGTGACCGCAGTGTTAAAGGGTTGCGCGGGCCCTTCAAAAAGTAGCCCTAATCATAATGCGATATTTTGGCGTTTTGTATTAGTATTTGTGAGCGTATGGCAATCCCAACCACCAGGCAAATGTACAGTCGCCTGCGCCTTATTTTGCGCACGTAGAGGGAATAGAAATCCCTTTTATAATACTTAGTAATAACATAAATAGTAGTTTATGCTGGCAAATGTTTAACGGCTAAAATAATTTAACAATTTTACAAAATCGAGTTGTTAGGTTTACGCGATTGCTATTTTGAAATTTTATTTATGTGTATGTATGCAATTAATGCAGGCGATTGTACGTATAATAATATGTCAAACCAGAAAGCCGGCATCGCCGCCCCCTCCGGGTTTACTTTTATTGGGGCCGAACATTCTTTGTTCAAAGACTTTATTCAAACATTATGCTACCTTACGTATCGTTGTGAATAAATACATGTACACGTATTATATACATATGTTATACCTAATTTTATGCTAGTATGTCACAGAGTTGTGGGTGTATTTGCGTGTGAGGCGATTTCGCTTATATCATTATTATTGACGGCTTTCTGCGACTTCCGGATTCACTGTTAGTTTTGCGCTTCACATTTCATACATGGAATTCTTCAGTTAAGTGAGCAATAACGACGATGACGATAAAGTTTCCGTCGGGTAACAGACGTTCTTACTCCTCTTGAAAGAGAGTCTTGTTTTAGAAATGCAAAGGCGGAGTTGTTTGTACGACAGCTTTGTTGGTCGCAATCTCAAGGGATAGAGTGAAGGATTTAAAAGGCAAGACGGAGCGGACACGTGTTCGAGTGCCGAGAGGCGAACTTGCCACTACCGAATTGACGACGTCCTGAAGGAAGGTGTCGGTTAAGGGCAGACCAAGAGTTATCCTTAACCGACGAGCATGTAAGAAAGTATTGGTACGTGTTGATAGTAGCGAATGGAAGGCAATAGCCTCTACTTACTCCGATGCGAAAAGTACTTGTGCAGTGCATGAACGTGCATAGGACGCTTACGATTTGACACGACACACCGACTCACAGAGACGGTGAACTTTAATGTTAACTTTTATTTAGCTTACGTCATACATGACTCTTACTAAAATTGAGGCCGTTCTCGTGACGATCCGTGATTATGTGAGAACCGCTTAACGAGTGCTTTGTGCCTACCGTAGGTACCTAACTTACAATTTGTTCATTGATCAAGCATGCATCTGAACGCGTCAAAGAACGAGTGAAGGGTCCAGTGATCTCCTAATTTCTGGTGTCTGTGCCACAATACCTATATGACCGAAGCGAACGCATCGTTCGGCTAACCTTCGCTCCGTCACATCGCGTCGCGAGATCTGCTAATCGTCGCGGTAACAAAAACTAATAAACGACTTTGTTACTCAACAAACGGACCTTCTAATGTGTATTACTTATTTCAAGAACACTCGATGATCTTCGAGGAAATTAAACAAGCGGAATGAACGAGGAACCCGGAGCATTGATTTCTTTTTAATTCTTTCGCATCGACAAGCTTAGCTTTACGGAGCGGTGGAACTTGTAGGTTAGGTGCGTTAGTACGGTACAGTATTGATTCGAATTTGTAGCAAGTGGATCTCTATGATTTCTTTCGGTGTCCCAGTACCGAGAAACTTTGGGGCGGCGATAGAAAGGCAGATAGAGGGGCGGCAATAGACGGACGCCAAAGACGCCGCAGGCGCTCACAGCGGCCGGCAGTGTCCGCGCGCCGCTCGTCGGTGCTGCCGCGTACTGCTTCGTCGACGTCACCTGGCTACTCCTGGCTGCTACTGAAGCCGACACACGCTAGGCCGACTACCCCGCGACGACGCCATGTGGCGCGTCTCCTTGCTAGTGATCCTCGCCGCCGTCGCCGCCACCACCGGTGAGTGCACTAGCCCTGACAAGTTATCAGCGGCACAATGTCAAAAGTTTTCAATACGCTTATTTACAGGTGAGTATAGACTACAACATTTACTTGTAACAGAACAACGAGCCGCTCTATGATATGTTCTAGTGTATCATCCTCTTACGAACTAAACGTCGAGCACGCTCGCCTCTTTGTTACAAACCAACGAGCGTATTGGTGTAACATTTCGTCGAGCCACGAGTGCGGGCGAGGCGCGGTTGCGGGGTGACGCGGAGGGAGAGGGACGAAAGACGCACGCGGTCCGCGCGGTCGTTTAGTTGTTCAAGTTGACGCTGTGATTTTACACGTGCATTGCATTAGCTTGTTATTTATACTTATTATCTATTTTCTATTCAACTATGTCGTGGGATAGTGAAAAAACTTTATTGTTTATTGAAAAATACAGGAATCATGTAATTTTATGGGATCCTAATCACGCTCAACATTACAATAAAATATTAAAAAACGACGCGTGGCAAGATATTGCTGCCGAAATGGAGATCTCTGCTGATGACTGCAGAAAAAAAATGACAAGCCTTCTAGCTTCTCTTCGAAGAGAAAAAATGAAGATTGAAAAAAGTGTTGGCACTGGAAAAGGTTAGTGATGACAATAAATGCAAATATACATAACACAGCAGATATATTCAGTTTGGATAAAAATATTACGTAAATGAAAAAGACGAATTTATTTTAAATTGTTTTTTTTTATTTACATTTACAGGAGCAGATGAAATTTACAAAAGTTCGTGGTTTGCGTACCAAAGCTTACAATTTATGCTGGATAGGAATAAACCACGTCCCGTTGATGATTCGGTGAGTTATTTTTTTAAAAGGTATTTCTATATTAAAATTTGTAAGTATCTACGCATATTGGTTTTGCCACTCCAACGCACCTTCTTGAGAACAGTATTCAGCAATTTCATCTCTCATTATTTTTGCAAAAGCACTTTCTGATAAGTTTCGATGTTGATTTGCAAGCGGAAGAAATGATGCATGGCCCTCGTTATAATCACTGGTATTATTGTCTTGTGAGATGTTTTCTTGTAAGCATATTCCTTCTGAATTCCTTCTAATGAAATTGTGCAAATGACATGTGCACTTTACAATCAATTTAGCTTTATCGGGGTTCAATAATATAGGCTTTCGCAAAACACGGAATACTGACGATAGTAGTCCAAACACATTCTCAACTACGCGCCGAGCTCTACAGAGTCGGTAATTGAACAATCTTTTAGTAGATCCTTTGGGATGCATTCCAGAGTAAACCTTCATCATATTTTGCATAAGAGGGAAAGCTTCATCGCCAATGAAATAATATGGCATTAACATTTGCCTACCTGGCAGTGTAGAGGGCTGTGGCAAATTCAATGATTCATCTTGTAGTTTTTTATATAACATACTGTTATGGAATACTCCACCGTCTGATATTCGTCCTTGGCAACCTATATTAATGTAAATAATTTTATAATTTGCATCCACTACTGCCATAAGTACAATACTAAAAAACCCCTTATAATTATAAAATTCACTGCCACTTGCAGGTGGTGCTTGAATTACTATATGTTTACCGTCAATAGCGCCTATACAATGGGAGAATTGCCATATTTTCTCATAACCTTCTGCCACTTGTAACCACTCCTCAGGTGAATTTGGCATCTGCAAAAAAAATATATATTTTATAATTTCAGGCTGATAACAAGACCGAGGAAAATCACATGCAGGCTACTACGGCTGATTGCGAGTCGCAGTCAGCACATCCTATAAAAAAGAAAAGGAAAATGGTTTCCAAAATCAATACAGATGACGACAAAAAAATGGAAATTGCATTTGATATATTGCAAAAAACCGCTATGAAAAGTGATTTTAATAATGACGAGTTAGCAAGTTACGGTACTTTTATCGCCAATAAATTAAGAAAATATAATGAAGGGACCAAAAACTATGTGCAACATCTCATATCGAATATACTTTTTAGCGCTGATCAAGGAGAATTTAACTATCCCCGTGGATACAGTCAACACTATAGAGATAATTATAGGAACGAAACATCTCGAGGATATAATACAGCTTCAACATCAAATGAATCCTTTGTAAGTCAGAACCGATCCTGTGACTCAAATACAGACAGAATTTTCTCTATCGAAGAGACTATAGCAGCTGCAACTTCCAATGAAGTCCGAGGTCCGAGTCGAGCCGGTGAAGCAGATACAGACGGGGGCGATACTCAAGATAGCAGTAACTTTGATATGATGAGTCACATCTCAGATTATTTGAATGATTTGAATTGATCTTAAATAAAGTATAATGATACTCACGTGAATGTTTTCTTTCAGTTCCTCTGTTATTGCTTCACATACTTCTGGAATTATCTTCCCAATACTATGTCTTGATATTCTAAAAAGATACTGTAAACTAACGAAGGAATCACCTGTAGCTAAATAACGTAAAGTTAATGCTAATCTCTCCTTCGCCGTAATTGAAACTCTGAATCGTGTATTTTGCTTTGATATTTTAACACCAATTGAATTCAATAAACTTTCAAAATCACTTGAAGATAGGGCAGTAAAGTTCTTATATTGACCACTTAATTCCTGCGATTTTAAGTCTAACAATAATTGCACACCTCCAAGAGTTTGTCTTCTATTGTAAATGTTCATTTGCCACCATCTTCTATTTCTATTTTTCTTTTTTCTTCTAATATAATTCATCAAGATAAACGCAGCACATGCAGCTTGTAGGTCCGACATTTCAAAAAAGAATGAACGCAAGGTACAACGAAATGTTGGTAAATGCACACTCGCTGTGAGCATTTACCCGTAACATAACGCCGAGCATTCGCAGGAACGTTACATTACATGGAAATGCTTAGGAAACTGAGCTTTTGCCTGTATTGTACCATTCGTAAGAACGTTACATTACACAGAAATGCTCCAGAAAATGTTGTAGTCTATACCCACCTTACAGCTGCTTCGTTTCGGTTTTTGACGTCTCTAAAATGAAAAATAAAATGTAGAAGTACTTTTTTATTGTATAGGTTTATTGCGAAAATGGCTTAATTTAGCAAATCTGTGCTAAATTAAAACAATTTCATTACGTGAGCCTTATTGAAAAATATAATAATCAGGATAAGCAGGTAAGGGCTGTCACGTGAAAAGTGTTGAAAAGTTTCACAAGTTTCTCCCAGCCCACATTGTAGATACTTTATTAACATCACAAGTTGTTGCAATTATTTAAATATTGAACTAGTGATAACGCCTAAAGTAGGTGTTATGTAAGGTTTTGAGTTTTTCTCAGTTTGATTTTCAGTTTGAGGGCCGCATGTGCTCGATCGACTAATTTACGAAAGTCACATGTGTTGTTTGGGGTACACAATAAAAGTAACAAGTTACATTAAAACTCAAATCTCAAATATTCTTTACTTCACATATCGTTAGGTACACTGATGCAACTCTTCTACTCAAGAATGAGAGAGAGAGAGAAAGATAGTTTGGGCTTGTTTTTTGTCAATAAACAATAAAATTTTACACATTTATAACTCAGAATAGCCACACCAGAATCAATTTAACAAAAGTACATTCTCCAAATTGGCCTACCGGGAATTGAATCAGGGACCTCGTCATCCAGCGCTCACAGTGCAAATCCCTGGGCTAAAACCTGTGTTTACATATTTATTTTAAAATGTCATAGACTACAACAACTACACAGGTCACTACCAAAGATTTGTGTCGTTCAAGTACGCAGAAGGCAGAGGCTCTATAATAAATAGCCTATACGTATTAAGTTTTTATACTCCACGTCGACGACAAATTGTGAATCAGACGGAACTTTATTAGATATAGAAGCGTGTCCACTACCCCTTCATTGAATTTGTGAATTTGTGATGACGACTATATTTTTATTCCTCGAATTAATGTTACAAATGTTTATCACTATTTTTCATAAAAAAATGACTGCGGCGCTAGTGCAAGATGTTAATTTCTTTGAATTATTTATCAAAGATACTCCGGGGCCCAGATTGTATACGAGTATATACCTATCGGCGGCATTACGCCCTAGCAAATTGCCGTCTGTCACTAAACTGTGAACGTAGTACCTGAAATAGACCAATGTATCGGTTTTTACACGTCTTGGTATTTTTTAAACGAAAGTTTTGGTAATTTTATAATCGCAAACGCTTCCGAGCTACATCTTTATCTAACACGTAGTCTTCTATTTTGTAATATGACTTTTCAATCAAAATATTCTTAAAGTAGCTTTTAAACCTAGGCAATGATAATCTTAATATATGCTCCGGAATGTTATTGTAAAAGCGTATACAGTTCCCCATAAAAGAGTCGTTTACCTTGGTTAAACGAAATCGTGGTGCCATGAGTTTGGACTTAGCTCTAAGGTTAATATTATGGATATCTTCTTTCTTATTGAAATTATGTATATTTTTACGGGCATATAAAATATTTGAGTACATGTACTGTGATGTCACAGTCGTGATACCAGTCTCCTTAAACTTTTCTCTGACCGAAACCCGAGAACCTAAACGGTACACAGAACGAATCGCTCGTTTTTGCAACACAAATATGGTTTGTATATCTGCCGCTTTACCCCACATGAGAAACCCGTAGGATACACACTGTGGAAATCCACATACTGTGGAAGTAACTAAAATAAACTAGTTTAGCAGTAGCAACATCGGTAAGCTCACGTATTCTACGGACTGCGTATGCAGCGGAGCTTAATCTGCTGGCCAAGGAAGATATATGTGAAAATCATTGAAGTTAGGTAATTCACATTGAACACACTGTCTTCTTGACTTTAAGCAATACATTGTTAGCATTAAACCAATAAACTACCATAGAGAGGATATCGTTAATATGGTTATGGGTATTGAGCCCTGCGGAACACCCATTTTTACCCACCCACCGGAGAACCCAAAGAAGTCACTATATGTCTACAATTTCTGAATTCTGTCATTGGGATAT